TAGTATCATGCTTTAATTAATCAGAAAATCTTGAACCGACGGTCACGGTGTTGGATAATTTAACCGCTGAAGTTTAATAAAAACAGTCGGTCCGTCTATCACTGTTAATCTATACTAATATCATAAAAAGGAAATATATGTTTTTTTGTATGTTTATTTGTATATATTTATTAATACGTTTTATTGGGGGGAAAGGGATTGTTAGTAATGGAGACTGATAATCCAATTGCTAGCAATATACCCAACCAGGTCGACCTCCTCGCGGTTCCCCCTGGAAACTATCATGGTTAATTCCTGATGAATTCATCATGATGGGCTAACTGACCTGTTTTCATTCTCACCTATTACCCTTCACTGGTGCCCCGCCAGTGTATCCCGTTAGCGTAGGCGGGGATACCATACCATTTTCACCCATAAAAAAAATACGTTTTATTTATACCCGTAGATGTCATAAGAGGCGACTAAAGGACGGCAAGGGATGTGCAGCAGTATCCCTCTTAAAACATCTTGAAGCCTGACTGCGTTTGCCAATCCGCCTGCCAAGCGTGGCAACTACTGGGAAAACCCCCCCAAGAGGGAGCCTTATGTTCAGCAATGGACGATTAAGAGCTGATATGACGATATACTGTAAGAGATCCCTCCATGGGATAAGTCCGCCATTATATATTAAATCTTTTAATATGTCCAATACAAATTATGTACAATAAAGATTTTACAATACAATACAATATCTAATATATAAAATTCTCATGTCGCGGTGTTTGTTACCAAACTCCTCCGAAACAGCTTAACCGATTTTTATAAAATTTTGTGTGCATATTGGGTAGTTCTGAGAATCGGCCAACATCTATTTTTCATACCCCTCAATGATAAGGGTGACCCACCCCTAAATATTTTTATTTATGTTTTTGTAAATTTTGTTTATTTTAATTTTATTATGATTTAGCATTGAAAAATACATACAAATTCGAATTTTCACGCTTTTACGATCAACCCCTGTTGTTTAATCTCAATTTTTATATGCCGTAATATGGTTGCAAGATGACAATCGAATATAATAATTGTAGTACGATATATTTTCATGTATCGTTCTAAAAATAATATATATGGTAAAACAACGCTTACCGAGTCAGCTAGTATTTTTATATATCTAGCGGAATGTAAATGGTTAAATATTTTAAATCTGTGTCAAATTTCTCATACAACCCCCTACTAATACAGGGGGGAAAGGGATTGTTAGCAATGGAGTTTGCCAGCCCTATTGCTAGCAATATGCCCTATTAGGTCGACCTCCACGTGGTTTCCCCTGGAAACCATTGTGAACAATTCTCGTTGAATTCGTCACGATAGGCTAACTGATCTGCTTTCATTCTCACCTATCATCCTTCACTGGTGCCCCGCCGGTGTATACCGATAGCGCGGGTGGGGTTACCATTCCATTATCACCCATTAAAAAAACCCCCTACTAATTGCCAGTAATAATCGTTTTTAAAATACAATGTAAGTGTAAGCGTTTTTCGTAGATAAATGATATCGATTGGGGTTGTATCATAGACTTGTTTACTCACTCGATTGACTCAATCAAGGGGTCTCAATTATATTTTATTTATCGTCATACATGTTACAGTTATCGCGTTATAATTAACTGTAGTTTTTAACCGACTTCAAAAAACCAGAGGGAGACTTTGTACAAAAGTCGATTGCTTGGGTACCTCTGTCCCATTCGTGTTTCAATAGTGAAGCAGTTGTGTTTGCATGGCTGTGTTTCGATTTGAAGGGTGGGTGGGATATGGCGTGAATTTACTGGGTACAGAGGAATAACACCCGAGTCCTCGGGAATGGCAACGCATGGGGGATATCATGGGCGAAACAGTATAATCTGTTATGTCCATGGTACTGCTCATGTCTATAGGCGACGATTACCACTTTCCATCAGGTGGGCCGTCAGCTTGTTTGCCATTCTAAGTCGTATAAAAAAAATGATGATGATGATGATTGGATGGAAAAGGGTATAGGAGACTTTTTATCTAGTCAGTAAACATATTCAGGCACGCGTACGAAGTCGGGTGTAAAAGATAGTATAGAATTATTAAAAAATGAGTTAGCACAAAACAAAATCGCATCAACACGGAATTTAATTAAACTTATTGCTTACAAAAAGAATTAAGTATTTATCAAAAATAAATTCGAATGTTCTAAATTCAAACAGACTTGTTTATAAGCATTTTTAAATCTTCAATTTTTTTTAATCTACTGCAGGTTTCGGAAGGTTGTTATCTGTTAAGAAGAGAAGAGAAGAGCCCGCAAGAAACTCAACAGTTACTCTTTTGACGCTTGGCAGGCGGATTGGCAACCGCAGGTAGGCTTTATAAAGATATTTTTATGAGGAACGCTGCTGTCCATCCCTCTACCATTAAGTTGTTTTAGTCAAATTCGACATCCACAGGAAAGGAAGGGGTCACTGACAGCATACTGTATAGTACGTATATAACAAATATCATGTATATATATATATACACATATATACATATGTTAAATACAACATATAAATATCAAATAAAAGAGAACACAATGATGACAGTCTTTTAATCATTTTTTATATTTAAACAAAATTGGAAAGATAGAATGTTTTTAAACTTTTTTTTAAGGAACTGTTAGACGGTCATAATGATCGGTTAAGCCGTTAAGGCGATATAAGGTGACAAACGAACTCACTTTCACATTTATAATATTAGTAAAGCCACCGCTATTCCTATAAATAGAAACAATGGTGATTCACATAAAAAAACCAAACTTTGATACCACTACCATGACAAATACGAACATACATATTTATTATCTGTTATTGTAACAAACATTAGGTACCTATCTAGGTTTATTTAATGGGTAAAAATGTTATGGTAACCCCGCCTGCGCTATCGGTATACACTGGCGGGGCACCAACGACAGATGACGGATGAGAATGGAAGCAGGTCAGTTAGCACATCCTTACGAATTCAACTAGAACTGGCCACGATGGTTTCCAGAGGGAACCACGTGGAGGTCGACCTGACAGGGTATATTGCTAGTAATGGGGTTATTTGACCCCATTACTAACAATGCCCCTTGCCCCCGATGAAAGCAGGTCTGTTAGCCCATCGTGATGAATACATCTGGAATTCAGCACGATGGTTGATATTCAGCAAGATGGAGACTACGTGGAGGTCGACCTGATGGGGTATTCGTATTGCTAGCAATGGGACTGTTACTGACATGAATGACTGTTTTCACCGCCCCTAATTTTTTTTATAAATGTTAATGAAATGGTACCTACGCTATCGGTATACGCTGGCGGGGCACCAGTGAGGGATGAAAAGGTAGGTCAGATAGCCCGTCATGATGACTACACCTGGGTTTCAGCACGTTGGTTTCTAGAGGGGCCACGTGGAGGTCGACCTGATAAAGTGCATTGCTAGCAATGAGACTGGTAGTCCGAATTACTAACAATCCCTTCTACCCTACCTGCCTAACCTAACGAGATACGCTGGCGGGGCACCAGTGAAGGGTGATAGATGAGAATGAAAACAGGTCAGTTAGCCCATCATGATGAATTCATCAGGAATTATATCATGATAGTTTCCAGGGAGAACCGCGAGGAGGTCGACCTGGTTGGGTATATTGCTAGCAATAGGTTTCTCAGTCTCCATTACTAACAATCCCTTTCCCCCTACCTAACCTAGTTAGGTTAGGTAACTTTAATTAAATGCGTAATGTACATGACAAATGATAAATACCTAATGCTTACATACTTACAGTTTTTTTAATTCATTATTTTTAATCTCACGCTGCTTTAGCAATATTATCGAAGTCTAGGTACATACATGTGTACTATTGTTTTTTTTTTTATAGATAATAAAAGATACCTACAAAAAGAAGTTACTGGCAATCAGGGCCGTGCCTGACGGGCGTTCATTGCGTGCACCGCACGCAGGCGGCCGAAATTAAGAGGCGGCCAAATCGTTACAAGTTGTTTACTGGGCCGATTTCGGTTAACCAAAAACTGATTTTTTTCCCGGTTTGATGCCCTGTGTATAATAATAAACATTAAAAATTAAAGTAGTTTTTTTTAATGTTATCCTGGGGGCGGCCATACAGACTGGCACGCAGGCGGCCATATACCCAGGCACGGCCCTGCTGGCAATTGACAATTCTTATTTTGAAAATCGAAACTCAAATCAATTAAAACCATAGATAAATAATAGTCATTGGTTTTTCATAGAGTAATCTGACTTCTTTTAGCCATTTTGGTGTAACATCGAAAATGATTAGATATCTATTGGAAGAGAGAACTTAAAAATATTATTTTAACTGCTAGTAAAATATTACATGCCTACTGAGGATTCAGCGACTCAGGATAGTTAATACTCATTGTAATATATAAATAAACTAGTTATTGTCTATGACGTCACTCAATGGATGATTTGTTTGACAGTCACGTCGGTACAAATAGGTACATGTACTTTGTAAGTACCTATCTTACAGGTAAGTGAATCATCAATGTTTTACGAAGACGGCTTACTCGACGTTGCCGATAATGGATAAACAACTATGAAACTGCATTATCTATAAAGATAAATCACCTACAAGTTTGAAGGGTAAAGGAACTCGGCTGAACTGGACAAACTGTAGTACACGTATTAAATCTAAATGTTAGCGTAGCTAGCATATTTATAGCGTAAGCTGCTTTAAATGGACGTAAACGAATACTTCGACGTAGTACACTCGCTCGTATGTAACGCACAGCGGACCTCCGTCGGTTGAATTTCAAAAAGCTAGACGCGTGCTCTCAGAAAATAGAGTTTTGGTTAAGATTGAAAATCGACCGCGGTAGGCCACGCAAGCGCGACGGCCACCCGGCATTCGGGCACTGTCAGAACAGAAACTGTTAAACAATTCTTAATGCGCTTAGCTCGCTCGCTTGCATGCTAGCTAGCCGGCCGCCGTGCCGGCAACTCGCTTACCTGTTGCCAGTTGTCCTCCAGCGACACCTTGTATTCGAAATATCCCGTGTCCGTCACGTCCTGCAACTCGCGGAATAAACTACCGCTCGGCAGTACATCCATTTCGCTTACATGTGGTTACGATCGAATTGCCGCCACGACGCGCGTGAACCTACCGCGCCAGTACGCTTTCAACTGGCGCCCCGCGACTCTTTCGAACCGTCCGCGAACTCCCCCCTCGCCCCCCACCGCACACATATCTCGCGTATAGACTAACAAACGACAGAGAGGACGCGTGTATAGCCTTCTTTTTTTTTTGTCCTTTTATCCTTACGGGGCATAAACCCGCATGTGCCTATACTAGGATTTGTACTATTTATTCGACATATAGGTAGACAGTTGTAGTGGCTGAAAGATTCATAAGAAATATTCGTCACTGTCAACTTTTCGGGTGACAACTTCAACGTTCAATGTTAGGCGGCGATTTAGAATTTTTCCTGATAAATTTGCCAAAGAGTTATAAATATATAAATTGTTTTCAGGAAAGGGGAAAGATCGTAAATTTAAAGGAACCAAAGAGAATATGTTTTAATCATTTAATTAACATTTATAGATAGATACACATACGGCATACGTAAATAGAGTAAAAACATTCGGCGTGCCTAAAAGAAAAATACATACTTGGGTTTTAATTTTCAATTTATATATATATATATAATTAAGTAAACAATGATCGCGTAACCATAGATTATGTAGATAGAGCATCGAATATCAAAAATGTATCTTTCGTCAGTTAATTTGACATTTGATTGATTTCTTTTTTAATCGAAATAAACCGCGCTCTTCATCAGTGTTGCAAGTAATTGGACTACAAATTTCCCAGGCCGGATCGATTTTTGAAATTGGAATTTAGAACTATGTTTTTTAACTCAATTTTTAATATATATATGTACATATTTCATATAAATTATTATGTAAACAATATCAAACAGTGATTTAGAAACAAAAACATATTTTGTAAAAATATCTCACACCAAAAACAACGCATACAGTAAAAATAAGCATCTTTACGAAGTATTATACATATTTTGTTTGTTTCGTTCTTTCAAATATATTCATAAGAATTTTATGGTTTTTATTTAGCAATTTTACCCCATAGACTTCTCCCACATTCTTAATATAAACTGCACATACCTAATTTATGTACACACTAGCCGATGCCCGCGACTTTGCCCGCGTTGTATTTGTTATTCCTGTTTAGTATGTATCAATGTATGTACCTTCTTATTTATTATGCCTGCTAAGACCAAAATTAACAAATGACGTGTCGTTCTCACTCTTTGTCACGTCAAAATGACTTTACTTAAGTAGGTTGTGTACTAAGCTGTATAAGTTACTATAGTTTTTTAACTATCCCACGGGAACTCTTTAATTTCCCGTGATTAAAAGTATCTAAAATGTTTACCTGGAATGTAAGGTACCACCGTGCAAAATTTCATTTAAATCAGTGCAACAGTTTTGGAGATTAGCCCGTACAAAAGATAGAGAAACAAAAAAATTTTAAAAAATCTGGACATGTTCTATTTCACTCCTAACATCCCTCTGGCCCTGTTTTTAACAGTATTTTCTCTATGTACAGACATACGACCTGTACAGTTTTATCATATGTGTAGATGGATGAAAACTTTGACCTGTTTTTGTATGGTGTATGAGTATCTGTTTGTATGGAGACACTCTACTTGACCCTGAAGTCTCTGTGACATATCTGTAATGTACATATTGTCATTTAATTTGGGATCGATTTGGATATTGTATGTATATATAATTATCATGTATCTCTTTACCACTATGTTTTTTTAATTATTGAATGTGCATTTTAGGTAAATTTAATTTATTTATAATCTTAATCTTATATAATTAATTATAAATATTAAATATTGTAATCTACATCTACCGTGAAATTTTAAAGAGGAAAGATTTGTATTTTTGTGTGTATGTATGTTTATAATGAATAAACTCAAAAACTACTTTGCCAATATCAAAAATTCTTTCACCATTAGAAAGCTACATTCACCCTGAGTAACATAGGCTATATTTATTGCTAGAAAAGATTAGGGATCCTTACTAAAACTTTAGTAACGTAACTCAAGGTGTAAAGAAAACGCTATAAAATTACGTTTCGTCGCGTGCGCTGCGGAAACTATTGGTGATAGAATAAAAGTATGTTCTACAATATTGAAGAAAATATCAATATCTACAAAAAACTTCGCGATACTACATGTCTAACTATTATCGTTATGTCACAATAACCACTTTTTAAAATGTTGTAATTGCCTGTGATGGGCTGGAGTTTGATCGTTTGTAGTTAAAATAAATAAACATAATCTGTATACTTTAACGTGTAACATGATTTTTTAATGCTAGGATTAAAAAAAGGAACTCTACCTTTTTGTTTATGCAACATAGAATAGCAAACAAGCTGACGGCCCACCTGATGGAAAGTGGTAACCGTTGCTTATACACATTTAGACCTTTTCAACATTGCTTAGAAATAACAATAAATTTTGTACCTACAATATCAAGACTGTGTGGCCAGCTATCTGCTCATTATTTAAAATCTTTAAACGTTTTCGAATTATGTTTCTTTAAGAAAATATTAAAATTGATAGATACATTTTATTGTTTCCTCCAAAAGATTGCAGTAGTTAGTACAATTTAATTAATTTAATTAAGATTCGTTGTTTATCAAAAGTTCTGAGGCAACGAACGTGAAAAAATAAAACCGAATTTGAGCACTTCCTCTTTTGTTGAAGTCGATAAAAAAGTTTCTGCACCATAGAAGCAACTTCGATGTTTAAAAAATGGAAATGGGACCAACGCGTGAGTGGAGCTTATTGACTGTAAAAAGAATTGCGCAAATCGGTTGGGGATCAGCGAAGAAATCACCATTGGCGCGTTTAAGATTGATCATTTTCCAGATTGGGCCTGATCGCTGAAAAACAGCACGTATGCACTCTCAAATATATCTTTGCAATGTTTTGCTAGCGTCCTGGAATGGGCACTGACCTATTCTGGGATGGGCACAGACCACTCTTCCCAACGTCTATAAACGACTAAGGAAATCACACAGATAAAAAAAGAAAATCAAACAAATTTATAACTTACTTTTGACAGTCACTTAAAAACTTAACCGAAAAGTTATTCTTACGATAGACAGATGTTCAATACATGTTTAGACTCACTACAAAAGCGCTTCTACAATACAAATCTGTTTATGTCCAAACAAAAAACGTCTAAACGTGTATTTTTTTTTTATACCACTGAGGTGGCAAACAAGCATACGGCCCACCTGATGGTAAGCGGTTACCGTAGCCTATGAACGCCTGCAATACCAGAGGTATTACGCGCGCGTTGCCGACCCTGAAGAAACCTCTTTACCCCCCTTTTGAAGAACCCCATACTGTAGTCTCTTGGGAAAACCTCGGCAGGGAGCTCATTCCATAACGTGTATAAAACGTGTTTAATTATAATAAAATATATTATTTATGCATCATTTATATAAGTATGTATCTATATAATACAATTTTATCTTTGGCTGTTAAACAGGTTACACTCTGGGTTTGTTGTACGCATCCGTGTAGCCTAACTTCAGGCTGCAGCTGAAAATCAGTGCTTTGCTTTTAAGCAATACCATCACTGAGCTGTAGCCTATTTGGGTCACTGCGACACACATGGCGAAACCATATTTTCATATTTTATCTTTTGTTGTACATTTTGAAAAGTGTAAATAATTTGATTGTTTAAACTCATTTGTAAATTTACGTGTGTCATAAATGGCTGAAATAAAAAGTTTATCTATCTATCTATCTGTCTATCTAATTTTGCTTAAATAAATTTTATTAGGTGATCATGTTTTTTTTTTTTTTTTTTTATACAACTTAGAATGGCAAACAAGCTGACGGCCCACCTGATGGAAAGTGGTAACCGTCGCCTATAGACATGAGCAGTACCATGGACATAACAGATTATACTGTTTCGCCCATGATACCCCCCATGCGCTGCCATTCCTGAGGACTCAGGTGTTATTCCTCTGTACCCAGTAAATTCACGCCATATCCCACTCTTCAAACCGAAACACAGCCATGCAAAACACAACTGCTTCACGGTTGAAACACGAATGGGACAGAGGTACCCAAGCAATCGACTTTTGTACAAAGTCTCCCTCTGGTATGTAGTCCCAGCCATAGAATAAGCCATCTTATCCTTTCCCGTGGGTGTCGTAAGAGGCGACTAAGGGAGGGCGAGGGATGGGCAGCAGCGTCCCTCTTAGAATATCTCTAAAACCTAATTGCTGTTGCCAATCTGTCTGCCAAGCGTGGCAACTACTGGCAAAACTCCCCAAGGGGAACGCTTATGTTCAGCAGTGGACAGTTAAAAGATGAAGAAGATGAATATCGAGGAATTTTAAAAGGCAATATATTCCAATATATTAATCTACGAGTATACTTATAATAAATCTGTAGAGAGGTCAATTCTGTACATGAAATATATTTACAAAATAACTATCAGCGGGTGATTAGTGATCGATACTGATGCCAAAAATGCAATCATTAAAATTTTTGTCTGTCTGTCTGTATGTTCGTTATAGAAACAAAAACTACTCGACGGATTTTAACGAAACTTAGTACAATTATTCTTCATACTCCTGGGCAGGTTATAGTATACTTTTCATCACGCTACGATCAATAGATGCAGAGCAGTGAGGGGAAATGTGTCCGTTACATCAAAACCACTGAATCGTGAGGAAGAACATAGGCTACTTATTTTACGAAATCGACAAAAACGCAGACGAAGTCGCGGGGAACAGCTAATACATAATAATATTTTTATTACACATAAACATCATCCATATACAATTTTACCAGAGGGAGACTTTGTACAAAAGTCGATTGCTTGGGTACCTCTGTCCCATTCGTGTTTCTACCGTGAAGTAGTTGTGTTTGCATAACTGTGTTTCGGTTTGAAGAGTGGGTGGGATATGGCGTAAATTTACTGGGTACAGAGGAATAACACCTGAGTCCTCGGGAATAGCAACGCATGGGGGGTGTCATGGGCGAAACAGTATACTCTGTTATGTCCATGGCACTGCTCATGTCTATAGGCGACGATTACCACTTTCCATCAGGTGGGCCGTCAGCTTGTTCGC